GACAAATAGTAGTAAACTAAAGGGATTCCTTTAATATACTGATATCTACTCTTTTGTAAATCTGTTTTTTACTAGCTAATATTAAAGATGAATATTGGTATAATTAAAATAAATAGTAATGTTTGCAATATTACATAAATATTTTATTTTTATTTATTCTCAATATATAATTAAAAGTGATATTTTAATTTTTTATTATTTAATATATATATTTTTTTACAATTATTATTTACATATAATTAATAGCTAAATAAATACATAATATAAATTAAATATATAAAAAAAAGAAAATATTTATATATCACATATGTGATAATATTGCACTCATATTATGTAATACTGTGTAACTCGTGATCATAGTAGAATTTGAATTTACAATAATATAGTATAGAATAGTTAAATAAATAAATGTGATACAAATTATGCAATAAGCGCAGCAGTATAAATAAAAAAAAAATAAAAATTTGGTTTTTCGCTTCCAAAAAGAGTAAAGAGATATGCAATACAAGGACCAAAAACTTGTATGCATAGTATTATTATTTTGCCAAACGAGTCAACAAACTTGTCATATTACTGCAAATAATAAAATTTTGCTTCTAGAAACACCATAATACAAGACCTAGAGACCCGTACGTACAACAAGTATTTTCACATAATAGTATCAATATACATATTACATACCTTGTTTTGAATTTTTTTTTGCTTCCAAAAGGAGCATAGAGACATGCATAACTACTATAATACGAGATACAAAACTCCATATGTACATATGAGCATGTATAATTATTTTTGCATGACAGTATCAATATTCATATATTATTTTTACTGTGGTCAGTTACAGTTGTCAAAGCCTTGTTCCTGTGACAGTGCACTTTATTCACGTCCAAGCATTTTAAAATAGAAAATGTTACTGGTTTAATACTTTAAAGTTTGTTATTATTAAGAGCATTAACTAACCGGTCTAATTTTTTTTTATTTTCGTAGCAGTTGATAAGCGATATGGAATTGTGAATCATAATTTAGGTTAGCATAGTGAATGACATATTGTGAATAGCATGTTGTAATTATGTGACTGTTTAATTTTTTTTGAACAGTTGAAGGAAAATACATGATTGAGAATAACAATTTAGACAATTTAGGTCAGTATAGTGAATTGCGACTTATCTAATTTTTTTTTTCTTATATTAGCTGATGAGCGATACGAGATTGAGAATTATAATTCAGGTTAGCATATGGATGGCACATCGTAATTATGCAATTGGTCTAACTTTTTTTTTCTGATAGTTTACAGGAGATACATGATTGAGAATAACAATTTAGGTCGGTATAGTGAATGTAGTGTTGTAATTTGGACTTGCGACTGGTCTAATTTTTTTTTTTTTTATAATAGTTGATGAGCAATACGAGATTGAAAATTATAACTTAGGTCAGCATAATGAATAGCATGTTGTAATTATGCGACTGGTCTGAAATTTTTTTTTTTTTGATAGTTGAAGAGCGATACATGATTGAGAATAACAATTTTGGCAATTTAAGTCAGTATAGCGAATATCGTGTTGTAATTTGTGATTTGTGGCTGGTCTAATTTTTTTTTTTTAGTATAGTCAGACCTCTCTAAGTGCATACCCATGGGACCACACTTTAACGATGTGTATTTAGAGAATAATAAGAAAAAATGCATTTATAGAGGTCAAGTATATATATGGACCAGAATCTAAGCATGCATTTAGAGAGGGTGTGCACTTATAGAGGGTGTACTTAGAGAGGGCTGACTGTAGTAGTTGATGAGCAATATGGAATTGAAAATTATAATTTAGGTCAGTATAGTGAATGGCAATAGCGTGTTGTAATTATGCGACTGTCTAATTTTTTTAAATAGTTGAAGGGCGATATGTGATTAAGAATAACAATTTAGGCAATTTAGGTCAGTATAGTGGATAGCATGTTATAATTATACGACTGGTTTAATTTTTTTCTTTTTTTTTTTTAATAGTTGATGGGCGATATGAGATTGAGAATACCAATTTAGGTCAGTATAGTGAATAATTTGTTGTAATTTGGACTTGTGACCAGTCTAATTTTTTTTTTTTTTGATAGTTGAAGAGTGATATGAGTTTGAAAATTATAATTTAGGTCAGCATAGTGAATAGCGTGTTGTAATTATATGACTGGTCTAATTTTTTTTTTTTGATAGTTGAGGGATGGTACAAGGCTGAGAATAACGATTTAGGTCAGTATAGTGAATAACGTGTTGTAATTTGCGACTTGTGACTGGTCTAATTTTTTTTTTATGATAGTTGAAGAACAGCATGAAATTGAGGATAATAACTTTGGTTTGTATAGTGCATTATGTCTTGTAATTATGTGATTTGGTCTAATGTAGTACTGTACAATAATGTATAAATAATAAAAATTGTAGATATTGAAGAAAGAGAAAATGTTCCTCCTATAGGACCTATTCTTGGATCAGAGCTGGAAGGACTTGACCGTTTGAAATATCCCTTAATAACTTCTTCTATAGAATTATCTGTTGGAAATTGGTTTAATTCTTGGAAAATTGCTAAATACTACATGAAAGAGTATGGAAGGCAAAATGGTTTAGGACAAAATGGTATAGAGTTGAATACTATAAGAATAGTACAATTAAAAAACGAACATTAGCTTGTGAAAAGGCAGGCAAATATAAGCTTAATAAAACAAAACCCATCAGCCAACAACGTAATAAGGCTCAAAGAGGACGGATTGTAAATGGCACGTTAATTTGAGTAGTTCTGAACATATCCATTATGTGTACATAACTTTTGTTTATATGAAACATAATCATGTAATCAATGCTGATAATAAAAGGTTCGCCACAGCATTTAGGCATTTTGACGAAAGTATAATGGCTGAAATAGAACATGCAGTTGTGTATAGTCATTGTGATGCACATATGATAAGAAACTTACTTCAACCAAAATTTCCTGATCAATTGTTTCTTACACAAGATCTCTCTAATGCAATTCAGAAAATTAAACGTGACAAAAAGGTTATTGGATCTGACGCTTCTCATTTGCTAAAATTTCTTTTTAACTAACAGAAAGAAGGACCTACAATGTTCATGCAACTACTAATTAACGTAGATAGTAATCGGTTATGCGGTATATTTTGGATGACAGCAAACCAAATTTTATTGTGGTCTTGTTATTTTGATGTTGTTTTGAATGACAATACCTCAAGAACAAATAAATACATTATTTATTCTTGTTGACAGTGAAGGTAAATCACGTCTTGGTGCATAGGCTTTTTTAAATGATGAGACACAAGAAAGTTATGAGTGGGTCTTGCAGCAAACACTGGATGCAACTAGTTCTGAGCCAAATGTTTTTATTACTGATATGGATTCTGCAATGAATGCTGCATGTAAAAATGTGTATAAAAATACATATCACATATATTGTATTTGGCATTTGTTCCAAAATTTGCCAAAAAGACTCAAATCCAAGCTTGATCACATGAAATTCAAAGAATTTATTAATAAATTCTGGAAAGCTCGAAATTCATTGAGTGTTAATGTTTTTGAACAACAGTTTCAAGCTTTAATTGAAAAATATCCTAATGCGCATGATTATTTGTATAACACTCTTTATCCAAATCGACAATCCTGGGCTTGCGCATTCATAAATAAAATTTTTACTGCGGGAATGCAATCAACACAACACGTTGAATCAATTAACGCCTTTATCCACAAAGAAGTTTCTTCTAGTTCAAGTATGATTGATGTAATTGAGGCTATTGATTTTTGGATGCAAAAAGAAGCCCTGAATGCGAGTTTTATAACATGGAAATATAAGTCATTAATATATCATCAACCGTTTATTATAGAAAAACTTTTTAGTAACATTGAGGAATTAATTCAAAAGCATTTATCATGTCGAATTATTGAAGAGCTTAAAAATCAAATGTGTGAATCAGTCCTCTATTAATGTAAAAAAATAGAGATCGGTTCTGCTATTGAATTTAATGAGGATAAGTTGGTATGTATAAGTTACACTTGAACTTGCTTTATGACTAAATTTCATATGTCTGAAGTAGCAATTCAAACTGTTATAATAAAGAGTATATATTTTTTGTAGGAACGAATAGTAAATTAGGAAGAGAATAATGGCGAATTCAATAAAAATCAAACGGTAAAATATTATTAAACTATATAATTTAGAATTTTGATAGCATATCAATGTTAATATATTATATTTGCCTTAGAATATAGATCAAGATGAGGCCGTCAAAGATTATTATGACTTCTGGCAAACATATTTAAAGGCATTAATGAATTCTGTTTCAAATAATACAATTAAAGAAGTCTGGCAAATTATTCTGTACATGGCACCAAACTCATATCAACATATGGGGTTGAGTCAATAGAAATCAAGCAAATTTTTTCTAAGTAAATTTTTTTAAAACTTTAAACAATAATAACTCAACAAAATCTTAATCAAATTTAATAAAATTTTTTTTAAATAAATTCTACAAACTTATAGAATTTGTTTAAAAAAATTTTTATTAAATTTGATCAAGTTTTGGTTAAGTTATTGGTATATAAAATTTTAAAAAAATTTTAATAAAAACAATTTGCTTGATTTCTATTGACTCACCCCCATATTATTTTACTTGATGATAATATGCATTTGTATACATGTTTGCTTCTAGTTTCACGTGGAGTTGTTTGTCGACACTATTTTAAGTTGATGGTAGAAAATCTAAGTGCATTATTTTACGTGATGCTAATGCCAACTAGATGGTTTCAAAATAACTCATAGGAGCATTTGGATATTATTTCTAAAGAACCGTTTATTGGATTGTCATCTCTAAAAGTTCAGGATAAAAATATACAACAAATTGTTCCTAAACATTTTAACAACATTTAGGAAACTGTGATTCAGCATCATGTACAAAAAAAGGTAGAATACAGTAAACTTATAGGTAATTTCAAAAAGGCTCTAAACTATTTGATGGAGGATAATGATCAAAAGAATTTGAATGAACTTATTTTGTCTTATATTGCAAGAAAGGAAAAAAAGTGGAAAGTTGAAGCTCAATCGGTAATTATTAAAGGTCAGGCATTAAATAACAATAATATTGTAAGACTAGTTGATAGTCGCATATATGATGCAGATAATATTCAAGATCCAATTGCACATCAGGGTAAAGGTAGACCTGCCACTAAGCGCTTAAAAGCTTTTACTGAAGAAAATAATAAAACATCTACTAGCAATACAAAACACACAAATAGCAGTAATAGAGAGAAAGGAATTGAAGTATCAAGTATACATAGATGTCATTTGTGTCATGAAACAGAACATTATGCTCCTAAGTGTCCTAATCAGGAAAATTAGCACAATTAATGTAATGATCAAGAAGCATGTCTTAAGTACTTAAATATGAATACGTAGTATGAATAACATAATATATTCAAGGTCATATTAGGTGGATTATATGGATTTGTGTACATGATTTTGTATTTGATGTAAACGAACTCATGTTCTGCGAAATATGCTTTTATTTGGGCATCTCAAATTGAATCTTTCTAGAACACAAGTATATTCATTTTTAAGTTAAAGCTAGATATGAACTAGCGATGTTCCAAAAATATTTTGGACATCCCAAACTATGTGATAGATAGTATCGGTATTATACAGTTTCGAAATAATAATAAGGTAATAAATAGTAATGTGATATTATTCATCACATAGTTTGGGTATTATCGCTAGTATAAACCGCTGTGAAGCAGTATTAGCCGATGACCTTAAATGACCTATATGACTTTATAACCTGACATATGTTATTTTGTCATAATGAAGGCTGATATGACTTTAGTTATACAGATTCGGTTCAGATGGATGTACGTACGTACGTACGTATATACAAAAATTTTAACAATGCAGTTAACAAACCTATAAACTTTAATTAGTACATATCCTTTTAATAATTAAGGTTAGAGAAATATTACTGTACTACATACTAATATCCTTTTTTCATGCTAGTGTTAGGGAAAAAATAATACGTATTACTTGTGAAGCAAAAAAATAGGTGCTAATGCAAAGCAAATAGGTACATACATACGCTATACAAATAAGTTACACAATTATTGTAATTATTTATATATACTTAGTATTAAACATAATAGTGATCGACATAAATACTGTGTAACACAATTTATATTAAGGGTGACATATAATATTTGGAGCCCCCGCGATAAATAAATTTGCTCTAAAAAAAAATTATTTTCTAGTATGCCTAGAACTTCCAGGTGCTTTTTGACTTAAACCACCTCTACTATATCGTGGTTTAGGATATCTAATAGTATTAGCAAGATAAATATTACGATCTTCATTTAATTCTGAATTATAAAATAATAATTAATATATTGTGAATTAATTAAAAATAATGCTAATTTATTAAATAATACCTTGCATATCAGCATTAAATTCTAAATTTTCAATAATAAGATTAAAAATATAAGTTTTAGATCAGAACTATAACAGCAGTCATATAAAAATTAGCAAATACATTACCTGATTTGTAATTATCTCTATTAACAGATTTATCTTTGTCCTTTGTCCTAATAACATTATTATTATTATCATCATTATTAATAACTGTTGTATTACCTTGAGAAATTAAATGAATGAAGCATTACAAAAATTTTAGTAAAAAGTCATAAATAACACATTAGAAACATTAGAAATTTTACCTGTAATAATATTAGGAGCATCTCTTGTCCTAATAACATTATTATTATTATTATTATTGTTATTAATAACTGTTATATTACCTTGAGAAATTAAATGAATGAAGCATTACAAAAATTTTAGTAAAAAGATATAAATAACTCATTAGAAATATTAGAAATTTTACTGGTAATGATATTAGGAGCATCACTAGGTTCTTCGGTGGGAACATTACTGATAAAAATTCTATCAGAATGTATATCAGCACCTTTAGTATAACAGATATTGGGGCATGACCAGTACTTGTGATGGAGGCACAACCAGAGCTTGTGGTAGGAGCACGACCAGTACTTGTGACGGAGATACAACTAGAACTTGTAGCAGTGGCATAAGCAGAACTTGTAGCAGGAGAACAAGCAGGACTTGTAGCAGGAGAACCACACAGACTTGCATCTTAAAAACTACACAGACTTGCATCAGGGGGACCAGCAGTAGTAGCACCACCAGCACCAGTAAAGCTACCAGAAGAACTACAAGACATGATGAGGGAGGTTATACCAGAGATCAAAGGTAAAATACACCAATTAGAAGCTTTAGCCAATAGTGTGGAATTATTTGCGACTTTATCACTTTCTCACTGATTTCTTTTCAACGTATTTTGATTTTGTTCTATTGCAGTTTTTTTGCATAACAACAAAATCTGTTCCAACTAAAAGTATATTAAAATATATTAGTACCAATATCTATATTTATATGATTATCTATTATAATAATTATAGTTTTCAATTGGCATTCTTTTTTCACAACCTTTACAACGTGGCTATGTCTTTCCAGTTCAATTTCAGAATGAATGTTTTGCCTTTCTTCTTCTTTAGCCAGCTCAGTATCCATTTCGGATACCTCATCACTGTGATATTCACTTTTTCTCATTATTTTTTTTAAGTCATTTAGAGCCTGATGCTCTGGTACATCAAGAGGGAGGAGATTCGTGAGATGCACACTATTTGTTTTTTGTAAATGGGTGAACCTCTTTTTTGATAGTTAATTTTCTGAGAAGTATAATTAAAATTTTACCAATAGTCATATAAGCAAATTGTTGATGCAAAAAAAAAATTCTTACTGCAGTCATCCTTTGATTTTCCCAGTTTTTTGCAAGTGCTTGCATATTTCTATCAGGGTCTTGTTTTCTTAAATGCTTTTTACATTGATGCTGGTGGTGTTCCTTAATAATTTTGAGCATTTGGTGATCTTCTACCTTGTACTTTCTTACGTCACATTTCACTATTTTAAAGGAATTTTTAAGGAATTCCTGTTTGAATTCTGACCAAACTTGGGATAAGTCAGGTTTTCCAGATTCTTCTAATCAATCTTAATGTCATTCTATTATAATAAATTTAAATTACCATCATAGTGCAAAATAATGCCCATCTATGCGGTAATTAATCGACCCGCACATGTGTGATATTTCAAAACAAGAATTGATTTTTGAGTTTATCCTTTTTTAAAATAATGCTCATGTGCCTTATATAGTGGTACTATGCTAATAGTAAGTATTCGGGAACTGTAATACAATAACAATAATTTTCCAAATGCAACGAAACTTTATTTAATTATCGTTATATATACTGTCTTTTAAATAGTAATTCAATTCTATATTTCTGTCGTCATCTACTAGAAATGTACCTTTAGCCCATAATTATCGCTTAAGTCTATTTAATTTTACATTATTTATACAGTTTAAAATATTTTTTAAAAAAAATTAAATTACGAAGAATAAACAAAAAAGAAGTATATAAAAAGCTTTATTAGGGTTGTAGGACTCAATCATTAAAAATAGCGACTTCTTAAAGATAGAAAATTTAGTTTATTACCATACTAACTTCTCTAAAACAAAAAGAGATTTTGATTATTAATAGTGGAGTTCTACAACCCTATTAAAACTCTCTAAATACTTCTCTTTTGTTTATTCTTCTTAGTTTGATTTTTTTTAAAAAGTATTTTAAACTGTATAAATATTGTAAGATTAAATAGACTTAAACAGCCAGTTATACGAAAGTCTTCCTATGGGGTATTTGGTCTAAATCACTTCTATGCTAACTTGACAATTAACTTCTATCGCTATAAAATGAATTAATAAAAAATTTTTCCGTTTTCAGGTTTTCACTCACGAACAAATAAAAAACTATTTTAGAATTATTGTTGAGTACATACGTATAAATATGAAAATTTTCAAACAATACTACCAAAATTATTTTTGTATTCCCTTTATAAGACCTCTGCCACATACTGCATATAGTTCTGTATTTTCACATGGTCTACCTTGGCATTTTACTACATAGCAGGAATTTGAGATCAAAAAAAGAATTTCGAATCCAGAAAACTAAGTTGTACGTAGAATATAAGCATGAAAATTTTCATACCACAACACTAAAACTAGTCTCGTATTCTTTTAAGATTTTTGCTAAATAATTGACATGGTTTTGTGTTTTACGTGGTCTACCTTTTGATATTGTCACTAGCAAGAATTTATGATCTTAAAAAAAGAATTCAGGATCTTTGAAGCCGAGATCTTGCTAAATATAAATATGAACCAAATGTGTAAATCAACCAATCAGCATGAGATTTGCCCATATGACTTTTTTAGAATAATCGTTCATTATTATGAGACCCGTACTTATAATGATCGCCATAGGCTAATTCTTTTTTTTTACTGGTATTGACGCTTTGAGGCAATTCTTTTTTTCGTATATAAATAGTGCTTTTTTCAATTGAGGTGCTAAATTTTTTTTTTTTTTCCAGATTTTTTTGGACTTTCTTTTTTTTTTTTTATATATATATTTTTCCCTTACCAGTATAATTCTTTGAATTACAAGGTTTATCTATTACAGACAATGAACACTATAATAAATGCACCTACTTTTTTTCTTTAAAGAAAAAATATTACTTTTCTTGATGGCATTGATTATATTTTTTTCATGGGTTAAAAAGAGAAAAAAAAATAATAGAAAAAAAAAACATTTAAAGTTATTTCTGGATGGACTTTTGTGTATGAGTTTTAAGGTGACAATTAACCTTCTTGAGCAGGACAACGGCTCTGAAGCCATTATAGCTTCAACGGCTCGTTGATTAATTTGTTGTTCTTTTTTTTTTTCGAAAAATTCTTTTTTGTACCATGAAACCACTAGCAAAAATTAACCTTCTGACCACCATGGTTTCAACGGCTCGCTGGTTAATTTCCTCCTATAATTTTTGTATCACGAAACTGCTATTAAAATAATACCCTGGTACTATTTTAAGCGAATGTGAATGTTTTTTTTTTGCTTCACGTTCAAATTTTACTTGCAAAGCATAGGAAATAAACGAGGCTATACAATTGCATTCAAGCTTGAAGTGATATCATACGCCGAACAAACGTCTAATCGTAAAGCATCCTTGTTTCATAAAGTTGACTGGAAACGCGTCCAAGAATGGAGAAAGCAAATAAAGATCTTGAGGCTGTCAAAAACAATCAAAACTTAAATATTAATAAGGTGCGAGTTCTTGCCGGTCGCGGTCAAAAAGCCAAGTATCCTACAGTTGAAAAGGAATTATTAGAATATATTCAGAAAAAACGAGAAGAAAGGATGGTGGTTTCTACTTCAATGATTCACAAAAAGGCAAAAGAG